TCCTCACGAGTGAAATTGATGTTGTCATCCACCGAGTTGATATGCTTGGTGAAAGCTTCTACCTCCTGGGTCCTGATTTTAACCCATGTGTCATCCACGTAGCGGAACCAATGGCTGGGAGCGGTGCCAGCGAAGGAAGCCAGGGCTTTCTTCTCAAATTCTTCCATGTACAGGTTGGCAACTATAGGAGACACTGGGGAGCCCATAGCACAGCCGTGTTGTTGCCTATAGGCAACAAGCTGCAGAAGCTGCACCGATCCGCCTGTCAATCTCCTGTTTCATCCTTCCCTCACTCGTGAACAAGACCCCAAGATACTTGAACTCCTCCACTTGAGGCAGGAGCTCTCCACCAACCTGAAGGGAACAAGCCACCCTTTTTTGACTGAGAACCATGGCCTCGGACTTGGAGGTGCTGATTCTCATCCCAGCTGCTTCATACTCGGCTGCAAACTGTCCCAGTGCACGCTGGAGGTCCTGGTTTCCTACTCTCACCTATGGTCATGAGCTTTGGGTCAGGACTGAAAGGGCGACATCCTGTATACAGGCAGCCGAAATGAGCTAAGCGGAAGAAAATGCTCGTGTGTATTTTCATTGATTAAGTCACCCAAATACACAATTATTCCATGTTTTTCCTGGATTTTAAGGACTTTTTCCATAAGTCACTGAGTTAACAAGATTAAAGGATTTTCAGAATTTACTAAGAATTTAAAATACCCTCCAGGTTTTTCTGGAGATCACTGGTCACAGCCAATCAAGCTGAAAACTGGCCTAATCTGGTCTCCAACCAATAGATTGGTGCATCTCTACCTAAAACTGAAGCATTCAAGTTCAACAGTGCACAAAGTGGGTATTGGCTTCCATCTCGACCATAGAGGCCTGATTGATGGAGTGCTGCGCTGATGTTTGTCCTTCTGTAGAACGCCTTACCATAGTAAATGAAGGGTTTTTCTGCTTTTATTGCTGATGCTGTTGTTGATCTGAACCTGATCTCCAACTGCTGTGTTTATGTATAAAGCCAGGAACAATTTATTACCTGGTGGAATTCAAGAACTATTTAATGAAAGGGAAGGGGGATACAATTTAAGGGGTCAGTTAAATTTAAAAATTCATGCTATACATACAACCAAAAAAAGATTTTGTATTTCCATAAGTGGGGTAAAACTATGGAACAATTTAAGTGTGGACATAAAAAATAGTAATAGAATTGACGAGTTTAAACATAAATATAAAGGTATGTGTCAATCAAGATATATGCAAGAACAGGCTTAATGATTTTTTAGTATAATACTTGTGTGGTGTAGAAGTGAATCATTTACTGCTTGCAAACCAATGATGGTAAGATGATGTCATGGGGTAGGACTGGATAAGTCTGACTTCTTCCTACTCCATTCAAGCATGTACTAGGTATAAGCAAATTGATATTGGATTAGCATTTGTTGGATATGTGTAAAATTATGTGTGTTGATATATCAACTGTCTTTACATGCTTGAAAGAATAAAAATCAAATCAAAATCAATGAGCTGTTGCCTTCTGACCTTTGACCTCTGTCTTTCAGGCGTCTCCATCTACACAAGAAAAGGTCAGAGGTCAAACAGTCATTCATGCAGTTGGCAGGAGTTTCTCTGCTGAAGCCATTAAAGGGTGTTGATCCGAACCTGATCTCCAACCTGGAGACCTTTTTTACACTGGACTACCCCAAGGTGATGCTCCTAATTATCCCTCATTACCACCTTAACTACCTTAAACTATCATCTGACTCCCCTGACTATCACCTAACAGTCTCTGACAACCACCTTTTGGCCTCCAAGCTACCATACAACTGCCCCAGATAATCCCTTGACAGCGCCCACACCTTACTGCCCCTGACTACCTTCTTACCTCCCTGAACTACGATCCAACTGTCCAGATGGATTTGTAATGTGAACATTTTTGATTTGCAGTATGAGCTTCTGCTGTGCATTCAGGACAACGATGATCCAGCTGTTGATGTCTGTAAAAAGTTGTTAGGAAAATACCCCAACGTAGATGCTCAACTATTCATTGGTGAGGAACTTTTTTTTTGGTTTGTTTATTGTGTTCTGTCATTTGACATATTCCATGTTGAATTTATTCCACCGCTGTAATTATTAACTTAATGACATTTACTTTTATGATTCTTTATTAGCAAAAAAAAAAAAAAAACCTTCCTCTCCTGGATCCCCAGGCCCGGTAGGGGTGCTCGCTGGTGAGCATCTGGTGGCTGGGCCCTGAGTCAAGAGGCCCAGTCAAGCAAAGCCCAAAAAATTTTTGCATTGAGCGGCCACCCTGTGGGTCCACCACCTGCAAGCATAGGTGTTGCATAGGGTTGGATGCAGTGTAAGCTCGTCATGGATTGGCCAAAACCAACACGGTTTGAACCTAGGATGATTTACAATTGTACTTGGTACCAGAACACCCTTGGCCAAAGATCAACAGATCAACTTTATGTTGTATCATTAGATCTGTAGCTACATGTTTTGGATGTTTAGGTGAGCAGAGCTGTTATCTGATCGCCACCTGTTGGTGTGTTGAATCAGATGGTGGGGGGGAGATTGGAGGACAGACCTGGTAAATCCAAACATGGAGTGAGGGTTTGCTGGGAGCTGCTGCCTAAGGCCCTGTTTTGTGAGGTTTTTAAATTCCGTTTTTGGAAGAATTTCTCTTGCATCCCAGGGCAGTTTGGTGACATGGAATCCTAATGGACGGCATTCAAATCCTCAACTGAGGAAGCGGCTACTCGGAGCTGTAGCCAGAAGGTCGTGGATGCCTGTCGTGGCAGCAAGAGAATGCGTTAGTTGACACCGGCAGTGAAGGAGGTTGCAGGTTGAAGCAGGAGGCTTTCCGGGCATGGTTGTCCCTGGGATCTTCTGAAGCAGCAAATGGGTACTGGCTGGTCAGGATAAATGCAGAAGTTGTGGATGCAAAAACCTGGGTAATGGGAGGAGCTTAGAAAGGTTCCTGATTCTGCTGCCCCTGCAACCTGAACCCAGAGAAGCGGTTGAAAATGGGTCGATTAATGGGATGGATCATTACCAGCTAATGTGTCATTCTTTGGTTCTCAGGGGGGAGGAAAGTTGGAATCAACCCCAAAATTAACAACCTGATGCCGGGCTATGAAGGAGCCAAATATGGCCTTGTGTGGATCTGTGACAGTGGTATCAGAGGTTAGTAGGCTACCACCACAGCCAATTGAGATTGATTTATTAGGTTTTGGGAAGAGTGAACTGTCAGATCATCATTCTTCATTATCAGTGTTAATGCTAACTACCTTTGTGTTGACAGTGAAGCCTGACACACTGACAGATTTGACCAGTCAGATGACCGAGAAGGTGGGATTGGTCCATGGTTTGCCCTATGTTGCTGACCGCCAAGGCTTCGCTGCCACACTGGAGCAGGTCAGCCGCTTTATGGTCTCTTAAGATGTATTATCTGCTTTAAGCTAACACCACAGTAACTGTGCTGACTGGTTCCCACCTGCTGATATGATAAAAAAAAATAGTTAGTAATGGTAATATGGTGTTTAATTATGCCTTCAAATGTGGTGTAGCACTAGCCTCTAAAGCAAATTTTAGTTAACTGACTTTTAATAGGTGTGAGTACTAATGTGGCTATAAAAAATATTTTGTTCATGTTAACATGTTGATTGCATTTTATATACTTTTTTAAAAGCTCACTAGCTAATCATTTGATGCTAATGCATTAGCATTTTCTGCATTGTCTTGTCAGTAGCTAATGCTAACTTGGCTTCTGTACCTCTGCTTCTCTGATGGGGAAGAGTGTCTGTTTTTTCTTGTTTTATTAGTACTAGTGGTGGAGTGCTAATGCTAACCTGTTTCCAGGTGTATTTTGGAACGTCCCACCCTCGCTCCTACATCTCAGCTAATGTAACTGGAATAAAGTGTGTGACAGGGATGTCGTGTCTGATGAGGAAGGACGTGCTGGATCAGGCAGGTGGATTGGTCGCCTTCGCTCAGTACATTGCTGAGGATTACTTTATGGCTAAAGCCATCGCTGACAGGTTAGCATGTTAGCATTAGCAACTATCATTTGGCTGTTGCAGTTTTTATGTTAAAACACAGTTCAGTTGATAATTTGTTACTCTGTTTTCTCAGAGGCTGGAAGTTCTCCATGGCAACACAAGTGGCACTGCAGAATTCGGGGTCATACTCTATTGGCCAGTTCCAGTCCCGCATGATCAGGTGACCACATAACACTTCCTCTGATTGGCTGCTTTTAATGCAGTTTTTCCATCAGATTTTCATCAGGTTGACCTACTTTTATTTCCACCTGACAGCCCCAATCCTTAATACTGTCCATGGCCTTAAGAAACGCCATGAGCATACAGTAGTTTCATACAGTAAGTGTACTTGGTACCGGAACATCTCAAGGTGGGGACACACGTGGCAATTAGCTAAAACCTGCAAAGAGTGGACAGGTCACACTTAGAGACTGTTTCCAGTAGCTTGGACAGCTTTTTAGTCCTTGAGTGTTGGGAAAGAGCACATGCACCTTATTATTGAGTAAACACTGTGCACAACACAGAGATCCCCTGTCTGGTAGGGCTGGAGAAAAAAAATCCATTTTCCAGTTAATTGTGATTTCTTTTTTGAACGGTCAACAATTCTCGCAATCCAGATTTCCATGTTTGCATTTTCACATTTTCTCAGTAAACATGTACAACTGTGGTAAATGTTGTGTGTATACAGAGATTATTTGTAAGTGTTTCAGTTCAAGCTGCAAGGTGTGTAAAAATGTCTTGATACACACTGGGATAAAGTGTGTGACAGGGATGTTGTGTCTGATGAGGAAGGATGAGTTGATACTGTTAAGTTCCATACATTAAGATGTGTTCATGTACATGTTTATATGTAAATGTTTACGAGTACAGTATTCTGTTTAGGCTTTTATTGTGAAAACACCGGGAGGTCGGTGAGCGGGAGTGCGCATGTGTTGTGGTGAAGATGGCGGTGGAAAATAAAGTTCAACGTTGAGCAAAGAAAGTGTACCGTACTGTTTAACAAGCACAAGCTGGTGGCAAAGCTGAAATTATCAAATTGTCTACAAGTTTATGCTCATTTAGCAGACCCCTCACATCCTGGACAGTCTGTTTGAACTCCTCCCCTCTGGAAGGCGCTACACATCAAGCCAAAACACCTAGACACGGAGACAGCTTCTTCCACCGGGCCATCTCACATATGAACAGTGATGATTTGAGTGTAGACACTGGCATGGATGCCTTGCTAAGGAAACTTGATGGAATGTTTTTCAGAGAAGAAAAAACTCGTATTTATGAAGCTTATTCAAGTTTTGACCGGATTACGAGAGACAGTAGTGTTTCTATGGCGGACTACATAATTGAGTTTGAACGACGTTACTCACGGATGCACAAATATAAGATGGAACTTCCCGATGCAGTGTTAGCATTTAAACTGTTGGATGCTGCATGCTTGGATGTGAAAGACTGACAACTGGCACTGACAGCGTGCACAGATTTAACTTTTGCATCGATGAAGTCAGCACAGAAGAGGATTTTTGGAGGCAAGTTTCCCACTACAGTAGGGATTCAAACGGCATATCTGACAGAATAAAGGCGACAGAGGAGCGGGCCCTGGCTCCAAAAGGATCAACAAAAAACGCCACTGCCTGGCACAAACCGTCTAGACAAGTATGGACGTAGATCAAAATGTGCAGTTTGTCAAAGCACATTCCACTGGGCTATAAACTGTCCACACAGAAGTGAGCAAGTTAAGTTAGCTGAAGATTGCAAAACAGAGGATATAGAGGAGTGCAATATTACCCTGTATACAAAAGAGTCACCCAGTGACGCAGAAATCTTTATGACAGAGGGTTTTGGCTCAGCAATAATAGACACTGCATGTACATGGACTGTTTGTGGACAGGAATGGCTAGATTGCTATATCACAAGACTAGGCCAAAAGGAGATTAAAAAACTGAAGATGACAGAAACTCACAGTCAGACCTTTTAAGTTTGGAGATGGAAAAATAGTCTACACCACTAAAAAGGTAAAAATTCCTGCAAAGATTGGACAAACAAAGTGTCATATTGAAACGGAGGTTGTCCCAGCAAAGATTCCACTACTCTTAAGCAAAGCATCCATGAAAAAAACAGAAACAGTGCTGGATATGGAAAGTGACAGTGCCACTATGTTCAGTCAGCCTGTAAAACTGGATTTTACAAGCTCTGGTCACTACTGTGTGAACATTATGGACTATGAAGATAAGGACACTCAACATAGAGATCATATCTTGGTTACTACTGAAGAAGTCACCCCAAAGGAACAGGATATACAAGGTCAGTGTGTTGACAAGATACTGACAGTCTCAAAAGAAATGGACTCAAAAGAAAAACACAAAGTCTTGCTGAAACGTCACAGACAGTTTGGTCATGTGTCTGCTGAAAAACTACAGTTATACAAGGTCAGTGTGTTGACGAGATACTGACAGTCTCAAAAGAAAAACACAAAGCCTTGCTGAAACTTCACAGACAGTTTGGTCACGCATCTGCTGACAAACTATAAAGGCTTTTGACTAGCTTAGGCAATATAGATATAGAATGTAACAGAATCCTACAGAAGATCATTAGTGAATGTGAAATCTGTCAGAAATACAGCAAAGCTAAACCAAACCCTGCTGTTGGCCTGCAATTGGCATCTCAGTATAATGAAACTGTTGCAATGGATCTGCATGAACTTGAGCCAGGTGTATGGTATCTTCACATTATAGACCAGTTCATACGCTTTAGTGCAGGCAGCATTCTGACCACAAAGAAGTCATCTGTAATAGTGAAACACTTTATTCATGACTGGTTAAGTGTACATGGGCCACCTAAGAAACTGTTCAGCGATAACGGAGGAGAGTTCAACAATGAAGAGATGAGAGACATGGCAGAGAACTTCAATACAGAAATAAGGACGACAGCAGTATACAGTCCCTGGAGCAATGGACTTTTGGAGCGACATAACCAGACGCTTTCAGAGATCATAATGAAGGTAAAGGCGAGTAATGGCTGTGACTGGGACACTGCATTGGACTGGGCTTTGATGGCAAAGAATACCATGCAAAATGTACACAGCTACAGTCACCATCGGTTGGTGTTTGGACAGAACCCCAACTTGCCCTTTGTACTGACTGACATGCCACCAGCTTTAGAGGGCACCACAAAAAGTGAATGGGTAGCAAAACACATTTCAGCTTTGCATGCATCAAGAAAGGCTTTCACGGAAGCTGAATGTTCAGAAAGGATCAGGAGAGCACTGAGGAAGCAGCTGCGTCCCACAGATGAAAAGTATGAGATGGGTGACAAAGTGTACTACAAGAGAAGCTAACTGTCCAGAGTGGAAAGGACCAGGAGTGGTCATCGGCCAGGATGGTGCAGTAGTGTTTATCAGACATGGAGGCACCTGCATTAGGGTACACTATCTCAGACTAAGAAAAGTGAATGCAGAAAGTAATGATCAACATGCATTCAAGGAGTGTGCTGGAGATGATACAGACATTGTGAAAAGGCAGGAGATGGCAGAGGCTGCTACCAGCAGCATGGAAGGTGCAGAAACTGTAGATAGGGCTCATCACAGTTTAATGCCTGATCCACACAAAAAAACAACTACCGAGGAGGAAAATGAAGCAGCACAATCATCGGATAATGCCATAGGAACACTAAATATCACAGGACAAGAAAGTGGTGTTCGCCTGAAAACAGGGCAGATTCTAAACTACAAAGAAACACTGGGACTCTGCACACAGCAAAAGTATTTGGGCGTGCAGGTAAAGCTACAGGGAAATATAAAAACTGGTACAATCTGCACTCTCAAGGAATCCCCCACTGGACTAGTACCAAAAGCACGGTTAGTGGCAAGGGGTTTTGAGGAGCTAGATGTGTCAGAGTTACAGAAGGATTCCCCAACATGTGCTGCTGAGTCTCTGACTGCTTGTGGCAGTAATCTGTCAAAACCAATGGACACTAAATTCCATGGATATAAAATGTGCATTTCTACAGGGAACTGAACTATCACATGGGTAGCAAGACAGACCTGGCCAGATGTTATATTTGATGCTAGCAACATGGCATCGAATATCAAAAATGCAACTGTGCAGACTATTCATGAGGCAAACAGGATAGTTTGCAAATTGAAGTCCAAAAAGGTGACTCTGAACTTCCAACACTTGGGCAAAGACAAAGCTCTTAAGATGATTGTGTTCAGCGATGCCTCATTTGGAAATCTTTCAGAGGCTGGCACTCAAGGAGGACATCTTATTCTTCTAATGAGGGAAAATTGGAAGTTCTCACCCCTTACCTGGCAGTCTAAGAGAGTCAAAAGGATTGTGAGGAGCACACTTGCGGGTGAAACACTGGCAATGTCTGATGGAATGGACAAGGCTGTTTTTCTGGCCACACTGTTCTCAGAACTAACTACTGGTGATACTGAACATGCTCCACCAATTATCTGCATGACGGACAATCATTCACTTGTGGATGCTCTTCAATCTACAAAGTCAGTCTCTGAGAAAAGACTTCGTTTGGAGATAAGTAGCATTAAAGAACTTGTCCAAGCACAGAAAATTGAGTGAGTATTGTGCCTTACCAAAAAGGGAGCACCAGCCTACCAGTTACTTAAGGCATTGAATGATGGGCAATGGAAGCTGGACTGAAAAAAAACAATAAAAAGGTCATAAACAGGACTCTTGTTCAAATGTCATGTTACGAGTCCTATTGCAGAAATGACAGGTTAATCTAAAGGGGAGATTATTATTATTATTATTTTATTTTTCAATTTAAAGAAAGCGATGTGTTCATGTACATGTTTATATGTAAATGTTTACGAGTACAGTATTCCGTTTAGGCTTTTATTGTGAAAACACGGGTAGGTCGGGAAGCAGGGTGCGCATGTGTGGTGGTGAAGATGGCAGAAAAAGAATAAAGTTCGACGTTGAGCAAAGAAAGTGTATCATACTGTTTAACAGATACAAGTGCAAAAAGGGTCATTTAAGTAACGTAGATGAGAGACGTTAGCCACGATAGCCTTACACACACACACACACACACACACAACACTTTCCGTCATGACTCCAGAGATCTAGCTGACTGTGGCTAACTTGTAGCAGAGATCCTGTTGACGAGAGCAACAGACTAAAACAGAATCTATACGCTGATCAGAGTGCTTGGTTTTCTGTGTTGAAGAGAGATTATTTGTGGCTGCTGAGTGAATAGTGTGTGAATTCAACTTTACTCAGTCCTTTCCTGTTGGGGAGCTAAACCTAGCTAGCTGATGTCAACAAAACTGTGCACATGAATCAGTTTCTGAGGTGCAGGTTTGTCGTTATTCCGGTTCAACTGTTTTACTTTGTACCTAAAAATATGGATGATGTGTTTAAGCAATTTTGTATTTGAAAAGGAAAACACAGTAAATCCTTGGTTGACAACATAGCCAGCAAATGTGTTGACAATTCAGACCATAATATGAGTGTAGAAGCCCTGAATGAGAGCGTTGTTGTCATGGTGATTGAGCTGGGACACATGGATATAGGCGGTGGCTATCACCTGTTCACTTGCATGGGACAAATAGAAAAGTGGGGCGCCGTGTTTTTTGTTGATTGCTGCTCAATCTGATCGCTATGATGATCTTGTCCTTTTTTAAAACATACTTTTTATGGACTGAGCTTTGTGATTGTACAGTTAGTAAACAGTTAGTAAACAAGGCCCATATTCAGCAACTCTTAAGTTTGTTTCTTTAAGTCGCTACAGTGAACTTCACATAATTTTGTACCCAAGGACACATCAGTGTTGCTCATTGGTTGAATATAGAAAGTTGCGACGGTGATCTTACTAGAGCTTACCTAGTAACACCAATGTGTCAACTTTCAACACGAGTCTGGTCCACCTGGGTCTGATCAGTTGTTGTACCCAAATCCCACTGAAAATCAGTTCAACAGTCATCACGTGTGTCCCACCTTTAACCCTCAGATTGATGATGAGCTTTGTGGTTGTGTCATCAGATCTGGATGTTTGGGATAGAGCGGAGCTGTCAACTGGTGGCGGGGGAAGCTGCCAAACAGTCCTGCTGCAGCCAGAACTGTAGTGAGGGTGAATATTAATCCAGATGTGTTTCCAGGTGGACGAAATTGAGGATAAACATGCTCCCTGGCACTGTGTTGGAGCCCATCTCTGAGTGCTTCCTGGCCAGCCTCATCATCGGCTGGGCAGCTCATCATGTGTTCAGGTACGCAGCCAGTCAAAGAGGAGGAGCGGCAGGTTATCATGATGTTGATGTTGCTGGGTGGACATGTTATAAAATATGCTGTAGTTAGATTCTTGTGTATTCTGCAGTGTTCACATTAGCAGTAGCTCTTTGCAGAGTAATTTCATCCTGTGGACGAGTGGAGATTGATATCTAATGGAGCTGCAGCTATTATGAATCTATTGGTCATTAGCCTGTAAAATAAATAATGATAAAAAGAGTGACCGATGCACCGGTTGCAATCTCCTTGGCCGGTTACGAGTTCTTTTTATTCCAAGTCTGACCTGCTGATTTCAATTTTCTGGCTTTCTGAGAACTGTTACTGACAGCATACGCAGACATTTTTGTAACTTTTCTTAAATAAAAAAAATTACCTTGTAGTAAAATGTTTTTTTTTTTTGTTTTGTTTTTTTTGTACAATCCTCCGACTGAAATTGAAGTGCAGTAGTTTGTATTTGCTGTTTTACTGCGGGTTGGGTACACCGTACATATACATGTGTTTCATGTGTAGCCAGTATTTCCCTCACTGTGTACTGTGAGTCGTAGGGTTGCTGTGAACTGTTGTGACTCTAAATATGACCGGCACAGAATCAGAAGTCTCAGATTGGCTGGTCGAGGCCGATCATGCTGAAAACTGTCCGGTTCCGATCTCCGCAGATCAGTCGGTGCATCTCTAGAAATAATTGCTAGCTGCAGCTGGTATCTAAAGGAGCCAAGCTGAGTTAGGTTTCATTGGAACAATATTAACTCCAAACTAATCCTGTTATCAGCTGTGACTATCACCGCATGAACAGAAAATAGGACTGCAAACCCTGTGATGTTGTTTTTGTGCTCAGTACAAAGAAAGGTTATGTTCACTCCTCCCTTCATTTAAATGTGTTTGTATATATGTAAAGAGATTTATTTAAATGGGTCCAAATTCACAGCGCATCTGTTGTATTTGAAGCTTTATTTGTGCCAGAGTGATCATGTACTTGTCTATAAACGCCAAGTAAATGAATGGCACTATATAATATGTATTGATATGATGCAACATTACGTTTAGTGTGATATAAAACTGCATCCAAATTAGCAGAAAAGTTATTGATAGGAAAATAAACGCTCCCTGTGTGTGCTGCAGGTGGGACATGATGGTGTTCTTCATGTGTCACTGTTTGGCCTGGTTCATATCCGACTACATCCAGCTCACTGGAGTCCAGGTAATATGCTTTTAATTTGAAAGGATGTGCTGGTTCTGCCCACTGCAGGAAGAACAAAAGCTGGTTTTATGTGGTTAATGGTGGAGTCTGATGAGCTGTGTGTATGTAGATGAGTTGGCTCTTTGTGGACGTGGGGGCTGAAACCAGCGGCTCCTCTGCAGCAGAGCAGGTGTGAGTCTGGCAGAGAGGAAGCCACACACCACAGCCAGTGTAAAGGACGAACATGTTCCCTCATTAAATTAAACGTTTACATTGCCAACTGATGTCATGTGCTGCCAGACTGGCTGTTCCGGGTGGGGTTGTGAAATACCTTCATCCTGACAGAGGGCTGCACTCCTAGGAAGGCTGAAAACCACTGTATTAGTGGGTCTGCCATGTAACAGGCTACAATGCTCAGTCAGTTACACATTGTACTCAATAGGGCTGGTGGCGGTGCTGTGTTTATCATAGTTTTCACATTTGCACAGCCTCCTGTTATAACTGAATCACAGTCAGAAGGCAAATCTCAGGAAAAAATGCTTTTTTATGGTCATTGTAATCTTTGTAGTATAAACACTACATTATTATGTATTTGTATTGGCAGCTACTCAAATGTGCTACGTTGGCTGCATGTTGTAGTTCAGTATGTCTTCAGTTTGTATTTATCACGCTGTAATGAAACTACAGAACCAAACCAACCTGGAACTAGAACATCTGCAGACATTGCAGCCTGGTCTGAATTTATCGGAGAACACTCAGCGTCGTGCTGTGTGAGGCAACGTAGCATCTTCCATCAGTGGTTGTTACCGTGTGTATCTCACAAGGTCACTGTATTGCCACATTCTCACCTGTGTTAGTGATTGATTATTGGTTGATGACATCGTCCTGCAGGGTGGCCCTCTGTGCTTCTCAAAGCTGGACTTCGCCGTCGCCTGGTTCATCAGGGAGTCAATGGCGGTGCAGATCTTCCTGTCGGCTCTGTGGGACCCGACCATCAGCTGGAGGACTGGACGCTACCGGCTGCGCTGCGGCGGCACAGCCGAGGAGATCCTTGATGTGTAGTTGCACCAATAACCATCTGCCCCTTCATTCCTCCATTTCTTCATCATCCTGATGGTTGGGAGGATGAGGAGGCAAGTGAGAGAGACTTTGTTTTTTGTTTTTTATGAAGGGGAAAAAATGAGAGCAAGTGTGTGTTTTTACCTATTTATGTTTCTTTTGGTGCTAAATCAAAAAAGTCAGAAGCCAATGAGAGCACAGGAAATAAAAATGGGAGGGAGTGATGCATCAGTGAATCATCTGATCTTTGGTCAGAGAAGGACAAACAGAAGAAACCATCCGGCCTGTCGGGAAACAGGAGTTTGTCTCCCGATTGGCTAATTTATTTATTTTTTTTCCCGTCGGTTTTATGAAGTTTGAAGTTTATATGGAAGCAAATAGCAGCCAAAATAATTTAACTGAATAACTGTGAACTGTTTACTAGAAAACCTGAATCCATGCTGTTTGAATATTTGTCCCTGATTTTGTCTGAGTTCCTCCCATAATGTTTTCAAGTTGTGAATTTTTAGAAACTTTATTTCTAAGAATATACAATTGCCACCTCTGTAAAAGTTGTGTTCAGTTCAGAAACTGCATTTTGAATATGTGAGTTCAGAACTGTAGCGGTGTGTGTGTCCTTCAACCAACCAACTCAGTTTCACACAACAGGACAGGATGGAAATGAGACGCAAGTCAAAGGTTACTTTGACATTTTCCTGGAAGGGAAACTTGGCAACTGCAACAAGCATAAAAGTTCATTCTGCTTTTCTTCAGCCTGTTTTAAGCTGACAAATTATAGAATATCATCGTAGTTATCATTTCAAAGTCTCAGCTTCGTTCATAAAACACCACCATGGCGTTTCAGTGTTTAAGACTTACAGAGAATTTTGGTCAAGAAAAACAAAGATTTTCTGGACAGTTGGACAAAGTGTGTTTTTAAACTCGACCACCTTAAAATGGGCATCTGTCAAACACCAAAACCAGGAGAAAACATTTTAACGTGCTGAGCCGCTGAATATGGTCGATTACACTTAGCAATTCATGATCTGCCTAAAATACCAGAGGGAGATGTTTCCTGTGCAGCCTGGATGTGGACTTCAAGTCCAGATCAGCAAAAGTACCATGTGAATCTGAACGTGTAAAGTCCAGTTTCTTCAATCTGAATTAGTAAAGCGTAAAAATACCTAAAGATTTGTTGATCTGAAATACGTAGCTATATGTTTCAAAGACTTAAATATCAGGTGGCTTTCAAAGTAGAATTTAAAATATCACTTAACTCTGCAGGTCTGATTAATACAGCTGTTATTTGCTTCCATAGTTTTTTTATGAGGATAAAGCAAATAATTTATCATGAAGTGTTTTGGTATTTGGTTCAAAACCAAAACTGAGAGCTAAGAGGCTCAAAAACTGCATGTTTTACAGAAGCATTCACCAAAGGGGAAAACACTGGAGAGGTTTCCTTGTGTGTATAATTTCTGCCTCAGGCTTATGAGACAACCTGTTTGTATCACAAGCAGTGATTTCACAAACCTCTCCTGCATTTTGACCAGAACAACCAGGAGCTAAATTTAGTTCTCAGACTCAAAAGGTTTCAGACTTGGTTCTGCTGTGGCGGAGTCTTCAGGACTGAATCTCACAGATGTCAGGCTGCGATAGCTGCTAGCTTGGCCGCTTCACAGCGAAGTTTAAGACGTGTAATGGCCCTTTACTGTGAAGTTTGTCATTAACAACAGGAGGTATTTAGAGACAACTTCCCAGTTAGTAAAAAGAAAGTAAAACACTTCAACAGGAGAAATAAATGTTGTTTGCTGATAGTTTCACAGCAGTTCATTCTGGAGTTGGTCTTTAAAAAAACTTATCTAGTCTGTATTACATCTGTCCTCGCTCATCCCAGCTCCACATTGATTTAAAAAAATGAAAATGTGATTTGCTATCTGATGTAGTCTTATCTTCACAGTTACAAAACAAAACAAGTGAATTATTCCATAATCACAACAGCCTTGTAGAGTCTGGTCAGGGTTCTCTGTTTGGCTGAGAAGAGCACTTCTTTCATTAAAGATATGAAATACGTAGATGTTTTTGGTAATTATACCCGTTGTATCTTGTGATTCTGAACTTTCCTCATAGGTAACAAAAAGTGAGACAAGATCTTTTATTTTGAAATTGTGCTCTTGTAGGTACTTGAAGGGAAACAGACTTGGATTTTAACAAACTATAACTACAAGAGCCTTATTTTATAATTGCAGTTTCTTTATTTCTATCTACTTTATGAAACTTGAAGTGAACTTTATCATAATTATACAGTGTTTCCCCGTACATTGATTTATTTGTGGCGGGCTGCCACGATGTCAACATTGACTGCCACATATTGATTTAAAGTAGGTTCAATGTTATTTCAGTGTGGCACCATGTGTGGTGCGTGTATTCGCTCAGCCCCTCCGTGCGTTTCTCTCTCTCACACATAAACATGACAACCAAGACGGCAGGCTGTCTGTGATCAGCTCCTCCACTTTGTTTTTTTTTTTCTTTTAACATGACACTGTCAGTCACGGATCTAGTAATCTAGTGTTATTAGCGCGCTAGTAAGGCTAGCTAAGCTAATGCTAGAATGCAGCTGTTGCCAAGGTCAGCATGCTGAGTATAGCATGATGTATATGGACTGCTCTGGAAGCGGAAACCTCTGGGGCAGAGAAATGAAGCTAGTGCAGAAGTGCCAAAACCTGCAGTTCCCCGAACAACCATTAGAGGCTCCTTAAGGGAGTCAGTCCCCATCGACTCCTGTGTTAAAAGTGCCCAACTTTACAGCAGAAATTAACATGTTTACTGCCTGGAACAAAAGCATTTTGGTCTCTATAGCTAATTTCCCCTTCCACTTTTTATAACTTGCCTGTTTAAATTCTATTAAGACTAAAAGTTACGCGCTCTTCAGAAAACCAATGGGTGACGTCATGGTGGGTTTGTCCAGCCTTTAATTATACAGTCAATGATATAAACTTAGTGCTATTTCATAAACTCTGATGTTGAATGTTTGCCCCCTCAGTCAGAGGGTCAAGAAAAGAGATGTAGGAGGGCAGCAGCCAACACGCTGCTGCTGTGGGAGAGCTAGTGCTGGAGGGACAGGGCAGATGACCTGTAGGAAACACTGGCCACCTTTAACACCACTGAAAAAGGGACTGAGGAAGATGTTAAACAAAGAGAGACCACACAAAGCTGAGAAATTGAAGAGCGGCAGCAAAAAGCAGTTTCTCTGTCAAACTGGATTAAAAAGTTTTATATTATTTATTACATACACTAACTAGTAAGGGTAGAGAAAACTAAACTGGCATATCTTCATTTTGTAAGTATGAAATCAGAATATTGTAAGTTAAAATACAATTGCACAGTAGTTACAAAATTGGTGTATTAATGATGAAATAGGAAAAATATGTATCGCTTATAAAAGGGATTTGACTAAGAGACATTTAGATATTGTACAAAACAAAAAACAAAGACAAGAACAAATTCAGCACTGAATGAATTCCAGTATATGTGACATTTAGTGGTCACAACATTTCATTTCATTCACAGAAAGCACCAGACCAAATGATTTAAAAAGAAAATGTCATTTGTTTGAACTTTTGTTTTACAGGGTCTGAACACTGTATGTGTGTGTGTTTGAAAATGAGATTGGGGCGTTTTATTGTCAGCTGTTAGCATAGCCACAGGGAGTTCGATTGATGACATTATCTTTGAGTCGGATGAACCCCTGTTGCCATTGTCCAATAGGTCAGTAGGATTCTTATGTATTTTGTTTATTTTTATTACAATTACCAGCTGTAGTCTACAAACTGACCAATCACAGTAGGGGATTGTGTCAACACAGGAACAATAAAGTGTTGTCCTTTCAAAGATGAACTTCAATGTGTGGGAGTCATTTGTTTAAAAGGGTCTCTTTCTAGATTGTGAATGTATTAAGGGGGAAATGGACACGGCATTACTAGTCGGTGCCTCTTTAATCCTATGAAAGAATCAGTCATGTTTACTGGCCAAGTTTGTTTAAACCCACAAAAGAATTGTCTCGTACAAATGCTCTCAATGTGCTTGGAAGTGAGCAAGAAAAATAGGAAAATCTATGCATTTAAAATAGGAAAGGCAATAGGAGAAAAAAATCATTTACATACAGTGTATATGTACACACACATTGTGGCTGCAGAGCTTGCAGATTGTTATGTACAGCAGTTATATTTACAGGCGCTGCACTAAGGGATGTCACACTGTTAGTCATAGGGTTGGAGTGTTGATCAGAGTGACAGCCTGGGGGAAGAAGATAAAATTAAACAAGGTAACAGTATGTACTTCATATAGATATTATTTGTACTAGTTGTGTAAGGGAGAGCTGAGTGGTTATGGGTTCATTAAGTTCATGTGAGCTAAGTGTCTATGTAAGCTTGATCTGTTTCTTTTCTCTTGCTCAAGCAAGAATATCTTGGGCTGTGTCCCCCTGAATTAAGACTGACAACTGACTGTGGGTTGACAAAGACTGACTCGTGACCAGCAACAACCAAGACTGACTGACTCTTTTGACAATCTTCTTATTTAATGCTTTATCTATTCCACTGCAGGAGGAGAGTCTCTGTTCTCTGTTTCCCTAACTACAAGATCATTTGTTTAAATACTACTCTATTCAGAATAATTGTGATATTAAATGATCCTTGAAATTGGGATGGTTTGTCTGAATTAATTTAGTCAGCATCACACTCCAGCCACGACATAACTGTCCCTGTCCCTGGTTGTCTTAGTGCACAGTGACCTGTAACGCCGTCCAGAGGGGAGGAGTTCAAACAGATTGTGTCCAGGGTGTGAGGGGTCAGCAGTGATCCTCTCCGCCCTCCTTTTGACCCATGAGGTGTACAGGTCCTCCATGGAGGGCAGGCTCACACCAATGACCTTTTCTACAGTCCTGACTGTCCACTGAAGTCTGTACTTGTCCTGTTTGGTTGCTGAGCCAAACCAGACAGTGATAGAGGTGCAGAGAACAGACTCGATGATTCCTCTGTAGAACTGTATCAGCAGCTCCTGAGGCAGGTTGAACTTCCTGAGCTGGCACAGGAAGTACATCCTCTGCGGTGCCTTCTTGGTGATGGTCCTGATGTTGGATGTCCACTTCAGGTCCTGGGAGATAGTGGAGCCCAGGAACTTGTAGGACTTTACTGCTGATACAGAGCTGCCAAGTATGACTACATGGGGTAAGGTGGGGGGGGTTCTTCCTGAAGTCCACTGTCATCTCCACTGTTTTGAGCGTGTTCAGCTCCAGGTTGTTGTGGCTACACCACAGGACCAGCTGCTCAACCTCCCGTCTGTAGGCTGACTCGTCATCATCTCAGATGAGACCAATGACCGTTGTATCATCAGCAAACTTTAGGAGCTTGACAGAGGGGTCCATCGAGATGCAGTTGTTGGTGTAGAGTGAAAACA